ATTTAATTAAATAGATATATAATTAAGAGAGACTAGAAGAATTTATAGACCTCTACTTAAACTCTATTAAAGTAAGAGGCTTAAGATACTAATTAAATTATTCTAAATAAGTAATATTTAAGAGAATACTAATTAATAGCTTACTATCTAATTAAGCTTTAAAGGCTTAAGAGTTTATTAAGTTAGCTAATTTAGAAATCTTTAAAGAAAGAGCCTAATATTCTTTATTAAGAACTAAAAGCTTTAAAGAAAATATAAATTATAGTTAAGATTATTATTAGTAGTAGATAATAATATAACTAAAAAGGCTATTATTACTAGTATCTACTATAAGGCAGTTATAAAAGTAGGAAGGTTACTTATAATCTTATTAGCAAAAGTATTACTAGCTAGGTATATAAAGCTAAGTTAAAAATATAGTAGTATACTGCCTAGTCTACTAGAAATATACCCTTAGAGACTATTAAAGACTGCTATTCTAACTACCTTAGATACTCTATAATAAAGGTATATATTAATACTAGTATCTACTACTTAATTAAAGAATAAAATACCTTTTAAAGAGAGGTATAATCTTATAGAGTAGGTAGAGGCTAAACTCTTAGTATCTCTTATAGTACCCTAATAAGAATCTTTATATAGTTTATATTCTATTACTTTGGATACTTATTATTACTATCTTTAATAATAGCAAGAAAATCTTAATAGACTAGTAGACCTTCTTAAGAAAGTTGAATATATATAATCTTTATTTTACCCTATAATTTAAAGGTAAATAGTATTATTAAGAATAGTTACTCCTTATTATAGAGCTTAAAAAAAATAGAGCTAGAAGCTAAGAGTAGATAGCTGCTTAATTTAAAGAGAGTATTACTAGCTAATTAATTAGCTATTAGGGTATTATATAGTTACTCTCCTTCTACTTACTTTATAATAGGAATCTATTCTTCTATTAGAAGTAGATATTTCTATATAGTATATTATTAATTAGAAGAAGATTTCTACTATAGAAGGTCTTCTTAATACTAGAATTAGAGTTCTTTAAAAATAAAAAGAGAATATTAAGATAGCTATAATTAAAGTAGCTATATTCTATAATTAGCTTGCTACTAAGAGAAATAAGTAGAATCTCTTCTATCTTTAAAAAAGTAACTTAAGCTAGGAGATTTAATCTTAAAGTTTAACTATACTAAAATCATAATCTAATAACTAAGGCTAAATAAAGCTAAGATAGTTAGGTTTCTATTATATTTTAAAGTAGTTACTAGTCTTCTTATACCTATAAGCTTAAGACTCTTAATAGAATTATCTTTAATAGACCTATATATAGAGACTACCTAAAGAAGTTTATAGAAAATAGCTAAGAGTAGTAGTTTTACTCTATAGATCTTATTAAAAAGAAGAAGAAAATAGGAAACTATCTAATTAAATAGATTCTAATAATAGAACTTAAATAATTTATAGTATCTAAGTTTAGACTTGGAAAATAAGAATATACCTATAGAAACTACTAGAGAGGTACTATCTTAAAGCTAAACTAGCATCTTAAAGTTAGTTATTATATATTCTAAAGAATTCTAAAGCTTAATATAGAGGCTTTAAAAACTAAAAAATAGCAATTATACTAGTATACTACTTAGGGTTTTAATATGCTAGTAAGGAAGGAAGAGGCTGTAATTAACCTATAAAACCTACTACCTACTTAAAAACTGCCTAAAATTTTTATAATAACTCTATAAAAATAAATAGAAAATATATAAAAATATACTAAAAACTATAGAAAAAGCTTATTTAAAAAGTCTTATTAGTCTTAAAGTAGATTAAGCAGCTAGAAGTTATATAAAATATGCATAAACTAGCCTTAAAATCCCACTTTTTAAGACTTACTAGTATTCTAATAGAAAAGCTATAATATTTGGAGTTTAGGATATAAGAGTTACTTTATAATATACTAAAAACTAAAGAAAGAGCTACTTTAAAAGTATCTATATAAATACTCTAAATTAATAGCTATAAAATCAGACTAGTTACTATTATACTATAAAATATAAGTATAGTATATATTAAATAAGAATTTAATTAAATAATTATAATATTATTATTAAGAAAAGACTACTAACTTAAAGTATAATAGCTTCTATAAAAACTCCAGGCCTATTAAACCCTCTAATACCCTTAACTTTATTCTAATAAGAAGTATCTAATATAACTTTAATATCTAATATTCCTTTAGCAATTACCTTTAACTAATAGCTAGCTTTAAGTAATCTAAGAATAAGTCTAATAGTTAAGAAGGTTAGATTTTAAATAGATATAAATCTAAAAATTAGTTTTAATATAAGAAGAGTATACTTAATAGGTTTTTTATAAGCTAGTAGACTAATACTATAGTAGCAACTCCTACTTATACCCTAAGTAGTTATTCTAGATAAATTAGAATATTTACTACTTATAAAGCTATAGTTAAATAATAATTTGCAAATAAATTAGAATATACTTCTTATTTAAGGTAACTATCCCTTTTAAGACTTAATATAACTACAATAATAAATAGAGTTGGTATAGCCTATAAAGTAATTAAAAGGGCCTTTAAGTATCTAGGATAGCAAGGAAGTTAATAGAAGAAGTACCCTAAGGGTGTGCAAACTCCGCTAATATATATAGAATGGATGCTATTTACTTTAAGTTATCTAATTCCATCCTAAAAGATACTATTATCTAGCCTAATGCTATTGAAAAAGATAAAAGTAGTTACCTTTAAACTTCTAGAGGGAGTTTCCTAGAATGCAAGTTCATATATATCGGCAGCCGAGTCAGTTAAGAGTGAGTTGCAAATAGATCAGAGTTAAAAGAGGATTTTATCTACAAGAATCGTTAGATTAAATAATCTAGGTAGTTACAGATTATAAAGAATAAAGGAGGGATGGTATAAGTTTAAAAAGGCAACCCTTCTTCTTAGCCTTAAGTTAAAGATTGCTCTATAGCAAGCCTAGTCTAAAGCCTATCCTTTAGGATATTACTCTTATAAAGGCCAATCTGGGTAATAGTTGAAGATTAGGGAGATTCTTATAAGGGATCTTAGTGAGATAAAGTAGATCTTCTATAGTGGTAATATTAGGGAGGTAAAAAGAGAGGAGAAATAGCAGCAAGCCAGGGAAAAGTAATAATAAAGAGGGGAAGATTAATTAACCTACTAGAAGATTCCAGCAAGTAAATAAAAGGTATAGTTATTATATTTACCTGAGGGCTCTAGCCTAAGGGTTTGAATTACTACTAGAATAAAGAGCAAACTTGTATATAGCTGAATAAGCTTTCTTTATAATATATAAATACTATATATAGTTATATAGAATAGTTATTAAGCTGCTGTAACTCTTCTTTTTTCTGCTTTAAAAGGCCTTTAGTCCCCTAATCTAACGATATCTTATTTTGCAGTCCTAATTACGAATATCCACTTTTGCTTCTACTAAGACTGTAGCTTTAGCCAATTCTCTTAGTACTATTTAATTAAACCATTCTTAATATATGCTAATACTCTTCTTGCCTTATGCTGCAGTTTGTTACTATATCTTACTTCCTGGAGAAGAAGAAGAAGTTCCCAGCCTATTACCTTATACTGCTAATTTAACTGGAGGCATTCCCAATAATACCTTGCGATTTCTTATCCTTCAAGAAGATATAAACTACCTCGAAGGAGTAATACCAGGTAATGCTAGATTTGGCTTCTTTATTTACCTATTGGAATTATACGTGCTGAAGCCTCTCCAAGACTTACTAGTCTTCCAGCCTGCTCAACTACACTGCCGCGGAAACTGGGAATACTGGGATCCTAATAACTCTATTTAACTGGGATTATCTAATTAAATAGCTATAAGTGCTGCTAAGTATATGCAAATCCTAATTCCACTCTGTTGTATGTATCTCTGCCAATATCTAGCCTTGCAAGGTATTCCAAACTAGCCCAACAACTACATAGGTATGCAATTCTAGAAGCAGTATTACAATAACCTGTGGGATCTTTATTATATTATGCAATCTAAAGGTTGGCTTTGAATTATTACCTTCTATCTTTCCTCTAGTTGGGTACCTACAGTATATACAATATTATTACTATGGCTCTAGAGCTCTTATAATTCTAGGTAATTCCTATAGAAATAAGAAGTATCAGTTTAAAGGTTCTACCCCCTTTCTTTATACTTTAGCTAAGTACATTCCCTATAAAATCTTATTTTAGCTTTCCTTAGCTATGGAATAGAAAAAGGCTATATTAATAAATAGCTTTTTTCGGGCTCTTCTACTTTAAAAATTACTAAATTTCCTTTATTTTTAACTAGGCTAAAAGCTAGCTTTACCAGTATGATACTCTCAACCCAGTCGCCAGAAGTATTTTCATACTACTGGATTGGCCTTCCGCAAGGCCCTTTTAAATGCCGGGCTTCTATATACGTCAGCACGTTTGGTTGCCTGTGACCGCACAGCCTGAGGAATGGGAATGTGGCTATCTCTCGATGTACGTCATGCTCTACAATCTAAGGAGTATAGTTGGTTTGAGTGGGAGGATCTCCGTAGCATAAGACAACCCACTGCTATTAAGTTCGACCAGACCTACACCAAGTCACCCAAGCCCTTCGCCCTACAACACCAAGACTGGACCCTGACTCCATGGGAACTTCGCAACTATTTAATCTATTGCATGTCAAGACTACATCAGCATTGCCATCCTGGACGAGCTCGGCATCCGAGATTTGACCTTCATAGAAGGTGCCACGGAAATCAACATGGGTACTAATAACCGCCGGATCATTCGACAAGGGGCATCTAGACTATTATTCAGCCCGTCTCACCTCTACACAGACCTTAGCGGCTTGTAGTTCATTTGCTGGAGGAATCGACCTTACTCCTACAGCTACTTCAAGTAATATATTGTGATGCCTATCTCTAAGGTATATATCTACTACTAACGTAACAATAAAGACATCCCTCAACTGCTAGCACTATTTATGACCCTTTCCAACGATTTAATTATACAATATAAGTCCCTTGACTACACTATAACCAACAAAGCAACACCTTCCCTAAAGACACTAAGGGCCTCTGCCAGCATTACACCCAGCCCTCTTTCCATTAAAGACCAGACTCCAAAGACGAGGCCACGCACTGAGAGCAAGATAGATGCTAAGAAGGTGGCCTTGATGAAGAAGAAATTAAAAGGCCTGCCTGCTATTCCAAGGCACTTGCAAAATCTTGCGCAACAAGACAGCCTGGTCCAGCTGATGAAGGATATATCTATTTCCGACCTTGTGCGACTCAGTAAGCAAGTAGGAGTCACGCTATCCCCGGAAGCACGCGAACAGAAGACTCATCGCCCTGGTTTCGAGGACTGGTTGGTAACCGAGACCCCTTAGAAGACTACACCACAAGCTAGTCTTCGCCAGTCAGCTCAACTCAACCCAGACCTCCAAGCTGAGACATCTTCGCTATTGTCGAGCCTAAATTCCTATCCGCCTACCCCATACAACATAATAGACATCAACAGTTTGCCGCTAATAGGAATCGCTAGAATGCCATTAATTCCAAAAGCTAGGTTTCTTCCTATTAAAGGCAACAGAATATCCTCTTCCTATAAATCATTTAATCGAATGCCTTTATCTGCAGGCACTCAAAGAATAACTCAAGAAGCTCGAGATCAACTTAATCTAAGACCCATCCAGAATCGAGCGATACAGTACCTTCCGACCTCTGATACTTAGGCTTTATATGTGCCCCAAGGTATGGTAGCTAAGTCCCAATGGGAAGATATAGTCCGCGAAGTTAGTTGAAGTCTAAGGAAGAATCAGATTGAGCAAGAATTGACAAGAGCTTAATAAGCTAAGGCATATAGTAAATGCCGAGAATAAGATGATGATAGTAACGAGCAATATAATCTTAAAGATTTTTATTAAGCTTTTAAGCGATATATAAAGAGAAGCAATTAATCAAATAGTTTAATAGGTTTCTATGAAGGATCCTAGTTATTGATATTTCCAGTAGCCCTACTCCAGGGAGGCTAACTTATTATTTGGACTGAGGATTATTTGAGGTTGTGCAATTAAAGTTTGACTTGGTTTTTTATTTTCTATTAGCTACGAGGGCTAGATTGGTATTGCTTCCCTCTTTTTCTTCTTTGTTTTTAGGCTGGGGTTTGTTTCTTTTTTTCTTTGTTAGCTGATAGGAAAATCCCTTCTCTCTTTCTTTTAAGTATGCCTTTCTAATTATCCCTAGTGAGATGATTGCCTTGCCCCTCTATGGGGTCTTAAGTGGTTTATGCAGTCCCTAATATACTTGAGGGCAAGTGGGTATTGTATAGGGAGGTGTTAAGTCGGGGCTTTTCGGTCTTTAGGGATAAAGGTTATCTAATTGGATGCTTGTAGCTACTAGGGCTAGGATTGATGGGTTTCTTTAATAGGAAATATTGTATTGGGTAGGACTGGTAGCTAGACTTACTGGGGCTATAAATTGGGAAGGTCTCGGATAAGACCTTCCAGATAATAACTAAGTATTATCCTTCTAGCATCTTATCTTTTTTAATTGACAGTCTTTTAACCTATTCTTTGAGGACCTATTGAAGGTTCATTTGATTAAATGGTATTAGCTGAGAAAGCTATCTACTTTGCCCGGCTATCCGATTTATCCGGACCCCAAACCTAACCCTATCCGACCTTCCCGACACAATACTATCGCGGTCATCATAGCTCTGCCTCTGGGTGGGTTGTGTATTCTTAGTGTCCTCTGCTCACTCCCTCACTTACTACCTTAAAAGCTTGCTAATGAGAGTTAATAGCAAGGAATATATAGAAATCTCACTTGTAGAACTAGGGTTATTACCGGCTATAATTATCTATAGCTATTAATAAAGCTTTGTAGCAATAATACAAGAAGGCAGTAAAACTGTTGGTATTTCTATTCTTTAATGCTTTATGGATGCTAATATATAATAGGTTCTTTGGCGCTAGTTTATATTTGGAAGAATAAGCTTTATAGTAGGGATTTATGTAATTGCAACTATTGTGGAATATTTATAGCATTAGATAGAGATGGTATATTGGGAGTGGTTTAAAAGGAATATTTTGGATAGATTAGAGAGCGCTTAACTATAAATAAGATACATCTAGAGAAGGAGTTAACTGCAATTTGTTAGCACTAGCCTACTGTATAAATTACCACTGGTATTGGGTTTGAATACTAGAAACTTTAGCTCTTAGACCTTCCCTAGCTTTTATGCCCACGATACTAATGCCTAATTGCTGGAAATAGAAAGTAGGTTAGTTAGCTTGATTTCTAAAATGGAAGAGAAATTACTAGATAATAACTCTATAGGGAGATAATTAGATTAAACCCAGCCTACATATATCTTATTTCAACTCAAGGCCAAAAATTAGAAACAGCCTTAATGTACCTATATAATATTATATTCTCAATATAACTACCCCAGATTTAAGTTTCAAGCCTCTCTAAGAATTTCTTTAAGGCCTATTAAAAAATACAGACGCGCCTAATAATACCCCGTTTCGTCTTATATGCAGCGTACAAGGTGAAAAAGAATGACAGAAGGAGTGTTTTAAAGGTCTGGGTTCTTGTAATAATGTCCTTTTTATAAAAAAAAAATAAAAATAAAAAAAAATTTACTCTTAATATAGAAGATAAAGATAAAGATAATTCTATTAAAGTGGCATTTCAACATAAGAAGGAATCACCCCCCAAGAATAATAATAAAGCCCCTATAAGTAGGTTGCTATTTATCTTAGAGGCAAGCTTCTTTTTCTTTATACTTTAACCTTTAGCAGCATTCCTTTCTATACTAACAAGACCAAAGCAACTGCAATAGCATATAAGTTGACATCTTCAGCCTGTTGCAAAAAGGCTTGATATTAGTCTGGTATTTAATTATAAGCCATAGTAAATTGGAGACACTAGATATATTATTACTCAGCTAATATTGCTTTTATTGGTGGATGTCAAGGGCAAGAATCACAACCATAGTAAATAACTTTTACAGTTAGAATAAACACTATACTACAGGCAACAACCTAGTGCCTAGAAGATTAGCAGATTAAATATAAGAATAAAAGACTAATCTTTGTTACTTATTTAGATAGAAAAACAAGCACTCATTTAATTCTTATTATCTATTTGTATCTGTAATAAGTATAAAAACCTCTAGTATCTTTAAGTTAGATATCTCCCTAATAAGCTAGAGTAGACTTAGTATTATAGTACAGTACTATTTTATTACTTTATTACTCTAGTAAATCTAGCGCTTTAATTCCTCTATTTAATTCTCTTATAAAGTAGATAATTTAAATACTATTAACTAGATATATATTATAGCTAGTTATCTATAAATTGAAAGGGGCATATAAATGTAATATATGTTTTAATATAGTATATATTTAGTTGCTATTAGAATTATAAAATGTAAAAGAAGTAAGTCTCCTTTAGGGAAATCCTTCAAACTATATATTATTATTATTATTATACTTATCTCTATAGCCATTATTATTATAACCCCAGCTATTAGATCTAAAGTAGTCTAATACTTTCTTTAATTTAATAACCTTAACTATCCAATCCTAATTATATATCTTCTCAATTAAATCCTTATAAAGTAATCTATTATCTATAATAACTTTAATATCTTTTAGTAATAATATAGAATTAAGCTAAGTATATATAATAACTAGTACTTTAGTAGTAGTATTAGATTGTAATATTATCTTAAGTATAGCAATATCTATATATATATCTTAGATGAGTTTTAAAATAGATATACTATTATCTTTTAATATAATACCTCCAGGATAGTAGTTATTATAGGCTAGAAATATAATATAAAGGTAGCTAAAAAAGCCTATATTTAGAAGCCTAATATACTTAAGAAATAAAGTGAAAATTTTATATTTAGTATTATATTCTATTTTATATCCTAGTATATCTATGCCAAACTAAAAGTAATTTTTAAAATAAAGTAAAAAACTAGCTTTATAATATGCTATTTTATTTACAAGAAGTACTTCTAGATATAAATATAATAAACCCCAAATTATATAAAGCCTACTTGTAGAATCCAGACTCAATTTAATTATAACAATTTCTAGAATTACTAAGAGTTCTTCATAAACCTTAATCTAAATCTCGCCAGAAAAGTTAAAAAAATCAATTAACATAATAATAATAGCCTCTTTAATCTAAACTAGCTCCTTCTAGAAATATGTCATTAACTTTAATCAATCTCAGGACGATATAAAGGATATTAATTTAATTTTAGTTATGCTATATTAAAGAAATAAATAACATAATAGTTAACTTATACTAAAATATTATTACCCTGCTTAATCTAGTTAGCATTAGTATACCCACAACTCAAGTATACCATAGTAATATAAAATATACTATTTTTCAGCTACATTCCGCAGAAGTAACCCTAATTTCAGTTATCCGCCTAGCCCCCAATTAGCTTGCCAATAATACAAACCCACGGGACCCTGCAGAGCGACGGAAAACAAAGAGGCAAAAGCAGAAGTGGACGCTGTATGGGCTTTTACGAGATCATGACAAAGCTTAGGAAGCGCATATGTACAATAGCAACTCGTGCCCTATTGGTTGAGAAGTAATCGCGGGCGCGCTGTTTTGACCAGAACCCCACTTGTCCATTTGGCGGTCCCGGCCCCACTACCCCCCGGACCAGAAAGAGTGGTCCACAACACCAAGACCTATCAGGCTGCAATAACGACGGAATGGCGTCCCTTCCCGGACCCAATGTCTCGTCAGGATGCACGTCTTTGAACAACACAAATAGGGTCGTCTGATCACTGACCACCGCTCGGGCCCCCCTCAAACGTAGCACGGCTAATCACGCGCCCCCGCAACCCCCCAGTAATCCACCTCAGCTCGACTAAGGCAACGTTCAGTTCGGGCGGCAAAGTGCATAACTGTTTTGGTGCTGCTGCAGGTTGGAGCATCAGGCAGCAATGGGTCAATGCATTTCCGGCAACGTTGGCTGAGAAAACACCGCACCCTGCCGGTTTCATCCACCTTGGCTGCTGCCGGTAGACAAGCAATTCCTGGGTCTTCGTATCGTGTGACGTAAGATAGAAGGCTCGGTTACAACCAACACCTGCAATGCAGCAGCAAGGTTTTCCTCTAAGGGCGAATAGATAACGCAGATCATATAGTTAGCTCTAAGCGATCTGTAGGGAACGGACCGGTCTGCCCTCTACGATTTGATGCTGACGGGGTGTGCGGGGCAAGTGACATACTTTTAGCTACTCACTGCTGCAACCTTCCGTGTTACCTCAAACTGAGGTAAGATACCACGGCCAATGATTCCCAATTCGGTCGCACTTACTACTGAGTCGACAGTTTCTCC